GTAAGTATGTATGCCATTCATATCAAGTTGCTCCTTACAATGCACTTTGAGCTCCACTTCTCCTTTGACTTCCATGACGCCATCGCCTTTCAGAGGGTGACATTGGTAGGTGCCGCTATCTTTCCGTGACACTGATGACAGGATCAACACATCCCTACTGCTCTCGAAATTCACATCAGGCTCCTGCAACAAATACTTTCATTTTAATTTTCATCTAAATACATTTTACTTTGGTGTAAAAGCAACAACAGGTAATAATAATTTGCCTTTGACTTCACTGTACCATATTTGGGCTTGATTAAAAAAAAAAAAGATAAATGCCTAATTGAAAATATTATTGGCAGGAAGCAAAAAAGCAGTAATTGACTTTTATCTATCAAAAACAGAATCTGTGGTTGGCAAAGAGTTTCCTCAATCCTCTAGTGAATCAAGTAGTCTTTTGTGTCCTCTTAGAGAACGACCAAAGACAGACTCAAAATTAGTAACTTTAAACATAAATATTTGATGAATTAAAAGCAGATCCTTTCTTGTAACCTGCTATCTTAGACTGACAGTCACTTAGAAAAAGAGTTGATTTTTTTGTCCAACTTTACCAAAATCTTCTGAAGGGACAACAACAAAGTCACCCCCTATTTATGGGTGAGTCCATTAATAATAAGCACATATGGCCAGACAATTACCAAGTGTACGTATGAGAAAGCAAAACTAAAAGGCACATAATGTCTGTTGCGTTATGCATTACAGTGCAAAAACGTTCTGTATACAGCTATGATACAACTGTTAATACATCATGAAAGGTCTTATGGACATTAAAAACTGATGGGGTGAGTTATTAAAACTTTTCAAGATCTGTTTATCTTAAATTCCAGAAATTGGCTAGAGTCAAGAGCACAAATTTTTGCTTCACCTTTTTAAATACTAGTATGATCAGGACAGTGCAGAAAGGATCTTGTAACAAAAGAGTGGTCTATTATTCATTCATTTTTACAGTTCTGTTTATCATTCAATGGATGTTCCACACTTCAAACGGCTTGACCGACATCATGTTTTTACCATCTTCTCTGAGTTTTTAGCTGTTACTGTGTGAATAAATCATGTAACCTCAATGATGGCTTAACAAAATGGAGAACTTTTCTTTATTTTCTCAGAAAAAAATCTTTTCCAATTACTCTTATGTGCCCAAGTCAACTACCGCGAATAAAAAACCCTGACAGCCAAGTTAAGAAAAGTTGACAAAAGTGGACAATACAAAAACTCAGCTCACTGCCACTTCAACTTTTCTTAATTCGGCTGAGCTGAGGTTTTTCATTGTCTATACGTACAATGAGTGCGTGTCTGACATGGGAATGAGTCCTACCCATGAGCCCTGTCATTGTGGCCTCTGGTCTCAGACCCCAGCCTGGACCTGCAGGGTCAGAGCTGACAGAGTCTTCATAGACCTTGCACACTCATGTCTACATGGGTCCCTGTGAGCTATGCATATCAAAAACATTCCCTACATGTCTCTTGTGTGTCACCCATTCTCTCTCTGGGACTTGCAGGATGAGAAAAGGCCGTCCATTCTTACTTCTACTTTGTTGAAAATGAAGTGCGGTGGGGGGTTGCCATCACCCTGGCAACGCAGCTCCACAGTATCCCCCTCTTTGACCAAGCCCTGGGGCGACTCCTTCCAAAGCTCCACCATGGTGGTGGGGTCTGTACGCACACACAAAATCAAATTAAGCAGGCTTATTCAGCAAGCTGTTAAAGTCACTTTATAACGCCATTTCCATATTGCTGACAGCACAGACTGCATTTGGCTCTGCCTGCCAATGAAGGAAAGAGGAGATACTGAGGCTGTTAAAATTCTTATAGGTGACGGAAATTGAAATGAAGTTTGTTTTGATATTTATTTTTAGTGAAACAAGGTCATTTTATGAGTTGAGGACATTTTTAAAAAGTTGGGGCCGAAAGAAGAAACTACTGTACTACTACTGTAAACACCATCTTAGGATGAGTATGGACAGATGCTGTGAAAGACAAGTGACTTATTTTGGGATTTGTGTGATATTGTCTCTGTTTTGATGGCTTTTGTTTTTCATTCTTACAGAATAAACTAAACCAGCATGGTTAAAAATGGTGAGCAATAATAGCTGTAGCTTCAAAAACACCTTTTTGTACATTTCGATACAACAAGCATAAACGTTAACAAGTAATCACCGCAGCTCCTTTGATGTGTGTCTTATGAATATTCCACCGACTGTGAGCAAGTTCAAACGAATTAGCATCTATTACAGTAAAATGAAACACAAGCAGCTTCCTTTGAGGATGAAGCCAGTTACCCAAATACAAAACAAAGGAAAAGGATTTCATATATATCCAAGGTGTTAATATTTCTGTTACGTTATGCTCTGTTATGACACTACATATAAAAAAGTGATAATCAATTAACAACAAATGCTATAAAACAGACCAGAATGTTAGCTACAGTTCAGCTCATGATACATCACAACTCACAGGTTAATGTGATGTTTGAATACTAGAAATAAGGTTGTGAAATCTCTTTTAACAAATTATCCTGTACATAAACAAATTCCCACAAACCCAGTTAACCTGGATAAACTAAAAGTTTATAAATAAACTTGATGAAAGACTAATAAAGTCATAAAGAAATAATTGCTTGACGTTATTGCTTCTAAAGATGGTTCTATAAGCTACTGAATCTTGGGTTATATATTTACTTAGTACACTTATTTTCTTAAGTTTACATGACAATATAAAAACCCTGAGTGTTAACTCACAGTGGACAGTGATGTTGACGCTTGGGGACTCGAATTTCCTGATACCGTCCGGGACAAAGAAGCTGACTTCACAGGAGAAACGGGCATCCTTGTCCTCCTTTTCCACCTTGTATTCCAGAGTGCTCTGGACGCTGTAGAGGTCATTGGACATCCGAGAGCTCAGGATCACTATGTTTACACCTGGAAATTGGACAAGACTAAATGTGAACATGCATCGACCAACACCATTATGTAATTTAATGGCATTATGCACAATGCAGCATCATGCAATCAGCTAATCTGAACAAAGTGCACATATTTTGCTCCTGTTTGAGTCCTTGTTCATGGGAACAGTTACAGAGTTACACTAGGCTAATATTGTGTTCCCATACTAACATGATCACAAGGTAAAAACACATACATTTAACATGTAGTGGTTAACATTGTTACAACTTCAATCCAGCTTTTAGTATAGCTTGCAGGCAGTTTTTCCTCTAGTGCTGGACATTGTCAAAGGCAGCCTACATAGAGAAATATTTACTGAAGGTGATGGATGTACTGATCCAGTATGACAGCATTCTTTTAGATAACTACACGTATGCAATTTATCATTTCCTAGCTGGTATGTGCAAAAAGGATTTTCTGTTATAGTCCTGTGGGGTGTGTTTGAGAAAACTATAATAAAACAGGAGAAAAGTGAATTTTAAACAAAGGGAGATTTATTTCTTATTTGATCCATCTGCAGTTTGTACTCACGTCCTGATTCGTTCATCAGTGGCTCGCCGTCCCTGTACCAGGTGATGTTAGGTTTAGGGAAGCCGTTTCGTGTCTCACATGATGCAACCTGGGTTAAAGGTCACATAGAGAAATCTTTGCTATCTTTAACTTGGTAATTTATTTGTTTTAGTGACTTTCAGATGCCTCCTTCACATTGCCATCTCAAAGAATATTTATTTGTCAGCATCTAAAATTGAATGGCTCACCTTAGATGGTGTGTCTTTAGTGACAGATATTCCAGTAGTGACACTCTCAATCTCTGGAACATCTGGAGGAGCTGAATAAGAAACAAAAAACAATTGTAGTGGTTTATAATAAATAAAGATAGAGCTCAGTGACATTCTAAATGTTCCTTTAGATCGATTAGCTTGTTTTCTGTGCTTTCTTACCAAATACTCTGAGGTGTGTCTTGCGCACCCCGCTCCCAGCAGCCAGCCCATTAACATGGCAGTAGAATTCCCTCTCGTCAGACAGTCTGACGTCCTGGATTGAGAGTCGAGTTCCTTTCTCGTCAGTAACCACGTTAATGCGGTCGGTGTAATCTGTGCCGCTATCAATCAGTTTTTGATTGGCATCAGCGTAATAGAGCCGTGACCGCGAGCCACCACGTTCAGCCTAGTAGAGAAGGACATACAGTAAGAACGTGGCATATTTAAAGTTCAATCACTCTTTTTCAGTCAACTCAGTTTTTCCTACACAGAAAAACAGTGGGCAATGGGCTATTCCCTGGCTTTTATTTTTGAAAGTTTAGCTGTTGCTAAACAGCTATTCCTACTGACTGGCTCATGTCCCTCTGAGCTAGAAAATCATAACAAGCACTGGCATCCGAAACAAAACGTCCAAAATGGCCAAGTTGGAGTTCATCCTCGCCCCCAACCAGCCGTGGCAGATGGTTGCAGCTCCCTGAACCTGGTTCTGCCTGTTTAAAAGCAAGTTTTTCCTTCCCACTGTCACCAAGTTCTTGCTCATAAGGAGTCTGATCACTGGGTTTTCTTAATTTACCTTAATTTAACTTACCTCAAGTTCCTTGAGCCAACCTTTGCTGTGTTTTGAATTGAATAGAACTCACTTAAGAAGCTTGGATTTTTTTTTTAAACTGCACATTTGAACCCTATTTACATAAGAAACCCTGCTATGTGAACAGATCTGCATGAATCAAAATAAATCTAAAATGAATGAGAGCCTCAAAGACTTAGGATTGCATGTTACTTCACAAATAGAGCACTTTAAGAAATCTCTGGAAATGACACAAAAGTTTGATGTTGCAACAAAAAAATGGAGCTCAGGGCTCCCTAATGGTGAGGTAATTGCTTGACTTTAAGACTTCATATAACAGCAGTTGATAGTTTCAGATAGTCTGAGCATCAATTTTCACTCACCACAAACCACTGAATCAAAAATCCGGGTTTGCTGTCACTGTTCGTAGAAGTGTACTGGCAAAGGATCTCAGCCATGTCACCGATGTACACATCCACAGTCTCATTCATAGACAGCTCTACCTTGGCCAACACTGAAAAAGACAGAAATACATGCGCATAAATCAACTTTATGCTTCCTGTAAGCACTACATGGTTATCAAACATTATTCAGGAATCGTGTAAATCCAGAGAGCATTGTCCAGTGAAATTGGATGTATTCATCCTTACCAAACTTTAATTCTTAAAATATGTTTTACTTCTTAAAGCATTGCTCCTGACAGATGATTGACTGTCTTCTCAAGCCAAACTGAAGCTAGGCTGCCCTGTTAGCACAACAAAGAAGAAAAGGCTTCCTGTCCACATGGCATAATTTTAATCTCCCTTCTGCCTGACTGACTGTAACAAAAAAACCCACAAAAACATCTTGGCCAGAAATGTAGTTCCCTAGGCGCCGTTGGGAGAATGCAGGCAAGAAAAAGACTAGCCAGTTTGACACTGTGCTGTTGATTCAGAGAGCCAAGAGCTTTTTCAGCCATGTTGGACTTGGCTGCTGTTCCAGAGGGGCCCACTCACACAGTGATGAAAAAACAGAAGGATGGCACAATAACGTGTATTTTCTCTGCTTAATCTTGTTTGGAGTTACTTTGCAAAATGACACAAGATACCCCCACCTTCTTACACTGTCAGGCGTCACCATGCGATAACCATTACAGTAACTTGTATATTTTCATTCACAAGTCAAGCAATCACAGGATAGAACAGATAGAACTTGTATGAACAGTTGCACTTGTGTACCCAGACAGCAAATACCAACCTCTCTTTCACACTGATTTAGCTTAAGTCAACTTTTGTATTGAGCAGATATCTGCAGAAATAGCCGAGCTGTTGGGTGTGCCATCATCCACCGCAATTTCTTTAGCCACAGCAACACAATCTTGATTCGTAATCTGCCCTACTTCCAGATACTCCTCTGACTTTGTGTACTTCCACAAAATGAATATCAAGTTAAAGATTTGCTGTTTTTACCCACTGAATGCGAGGTCAGCCAAATTTAAATCAAGCTAGTTTGTAGAGTTTTACGGGCCGATTCCCAGAGCAGTTTCAACACATCTTATAAGATTTATTTAGTCCAGGGAATTATTCATGGATATTCCTTTAAGTCTATTAACAATTACTACATACAGATGGGGGGAAACAAATTGCATCGCAATGTTTTTTTTACCAATGGCTTCTAAAACGAAAATAAAAATAATGAGTCAGAGCTACACCATGGTGCCCTCAAGTATGTTTTCAGCGTTGGTTGAAACCGATCAAGCATGAAAGGAGCATTAAGAGTCCAGTTGCCACCCTGCTGCCCCCATTCTGCCGGCTGCTCCCCATCACCATCTTGTCAAGCCCCCCTTCCTCGGCACCAATCATTTTCGCAACTCATTTTTTTCTTTCGGTCCCTCCCTCCTCTGCGTGGGGCTATGCTCAGCCAACCATTCCTTTAAGACAACGGGCGAACTATTGTTCCCCCACCTGGGTGGACCAAATCCCCCCCTTGCACACATAAATAAAAATCCCACACACCAGTCAGCCAAAAAGTGTTATTTTCATCCAAAGCAAAGGTTAGCAACAGTTCATCATGTACTGAGTACTGAATACATTGTTTACTGTGACAAAGATTTGAGACTTTGAGGCTTTGAGACAAGAAACAGATTACGGGCACTGAAGAGCAAAATATGTCACAGAAGTCAGTGTAAAAAATGTTGCGTCTCTTTGGGGCCATGCTGCTAACTTTTCAGCTAATCCGATTAGCAGTGGGGGGATTTAGCTTCGCAAGCCAACCTGGGACCAGTCTTATCTGTTCCTGTTGTGACTTTATACAGCATGGACTAAAGGACAAGCACACATGACCCATGATCTATGGAGCCTGACAACCGAAATTGCTGCCTGTGGGTGTGAATGCGCATACATTTGTGGCAGTCTGCTGTCTGTGTCTGGATGATATAGAGCTAATTAATTCAGGAAAAAAAAACACTACTCCAGAATATTTGGATGTGTTGACAGCATGAGGGCTCTGAGTGGACCTTAACTGAGTGGCCTGTCAAGAGGACAATATAGGAGGACTGGAAGACAGACCAGTTACAACGCAAAATTATAAAATAAAACATTAAATATTAAATATAATCCATTATTCAGTCAATTTCCCATAATGACAGCAGTAAAGCAAATGAAACCACCATGCTAGAAACAAGGAACCAGGCGTGGTTGAAACATGAAGCCAAACAAACCAAGTGACTAAAACGGCACTTTCTCAAATGATCATAGTTCAGGCTTGAACTGAAAGAAGAGTTCATCTAAGGAAGCGCTGACTGAGATATTTTGGATTATTTCTGATACCAATGTTTAAAATAACAATTTAGTTTATTCAAATGAATTGAATTTTACTTATTTAGCAACAACAGTCACCTCAAGGTGCCTAAGGTAAAGAGCCTACAATAATACAGAGAAAATTCACATTTCTAATACTAATATTTATTTGTTTAGCAATAAGTTTTCAGTATAAAAACTTAGTTTTCCTCTTTTGTTTAAATATCACTAAGAATATTGTCTGAACATGTGGCTGTTTTAGTTTTCAAAACCTGTTCTCCAATGTCTTTGCATTCAAAGACCAAAAACAATCACAGTTGTTCTCTGCAGACATGTTGGTGTCCTCCAGGAAAACTACCAGAGACTGTAGCAATCTGCGAGCAACACTAAGTTTTGGTGCCGCACCTTTTTGTGACCAATTACATCAACCACTCGCCAACCAGTCGGGGAATACACGTCACTGTTTCATGTAAATGCCTTCAATACAAGTGTCTATGTAGCGTGTAGATGAAGACAATTAAGATTCTTAATTAACATCTCAAATGATAAAGGCTGATGTGTGAAGTATGCACAAATTTATTAACTGCCTTGATACAATATTACCCAGACTAGGGATGTTTAGTCCGTTCTGTTGATCCAGTCTGGAATTGAATTTGTTAGAAAGTTTCAGTGGATTGCTCTCAATGTTCAGCTCAGTGATTCCTTCACATTCATTTAAGAAATTGCTTTACTTATTCTCTTATATATCTTGGCATCCAGAAGCTGAATTAGCATTGAACTGTATACAGATGTTTATGATTCCCACTAAACTGAGCACAGTGAGGTTCAAACTCTGATGTCCTCTTTGGGATAAATAGCAATTTTCATTTTGTGCTACAATGATCCCCGACAGTCCTAATGTATTTATACAGACTTGTGACTATTTTTAATAAGATATAGGAAAAGAAAGAGCACTGGAGAGAATGGGCTGAGGTGGCTGAGATGGTTTGGACATCTGCAGAGGAGGGATAATGGACACAGGACGTTGACTGTCAAGCTGCCAGGCAGGAGGAAAAGAGGAATAACATAGAAAAGATTCACAGATGCAGTGAAGTAGGACATTCAGAGGGCTGGTGTGACAAAGGAGGATGCTAGGGATAAGGTGACATGAGAGAAGTAGGGGAAGACTGGAAAAGTAAGAGAATCCACAGACGAAACCATTTTGTCTGATTTCTGGGTAAGACTCACATGCTCTCACAATACTAATAAGACAATAATACACATTATAAGGGGATAGTTCCAGGATAGCATCTGTGTACAGTCACTCATTATGCACGTCGGACAATACTCAGACAGTATCCTCACATGCTAACTAAGTAAACTGCCATTACTGCAATCTCCATCCCATTAAGGCTGCAAGCTTAGGCCTTTAGCAGATCTGCAGCTCTGCTGCCGATAAGAGTCCAAATCAACTCTGACATCACAAATCTGTAATCCTGCACATGCCTGGTGACCCGTGAAATAGGACTGAGTGCCTATTAGAACAGGATTTTACTGAATGAAAATCAAATTGGTTAAGATATATTTTGGAATATTTAGATATAGTTAAATCAGCACATTTAATGTTATTTATTTAAGCTACTTCAGAGAAAATGTATGAGAAGATTAGCCTTTCAAAATTTCAGAGACCTGGAAACGCCCAGAATAAAAGCTGTACGCGGGGACTGAGTGTCCCCTCGGAGAGTGAAGGGTGTAAAAAGCTAGCATGTAAGTGTGGATGACAGGGTGGAGGATTTCTCAATATGCAACCCTGGTTTGGTGCTGAACACCTGCGGGACACTGTGTACCGCCTGACATCAAAGAGCACACACACACACACATAGTGAAAGCATACAGTGAAGAAGAGCGCTCCTTGTCCTCCCAATGTGGCTGTTCTTTCAGAAGCAGCATCTGGCACAAATCTCCCAGCAGCCCCTTTCCCGTTGGTGCAGCAACTGTCACCCATGCTCTATTCTTTCACACAGACAGATAAGGAAGTGCTGCAAATCTCCTCAAAGCCACCTCTTTATGCATGTGTGATCTCTCCTTTCATGCAGTAAAGCATATCGCAGCTTCAGGTCAAGACCTCAAACAGTCCTCCATGATCAATGCCGAGGTGAACTCTCTCAGATTCACGACAGTGCACCCTTTAAACTTGGTTGCAAAGCATTTTTAAACTATGTGACCAATTTGCTTTGCACATCTTTTGCAGTTCTTTGACTGTGAAGGATTCTCAACTTCAAATGTTGCATATTAACTTTAATCTTATATGATAGCACTGCAAAAAACCCCAAAAACATTTACAAGTCCAATGGGATCAGCCTTATGGAGGTTTCTGCACTAAATGAAGGTGACTGATTGTTTTCTGTCAGAACAATACTTACCTATACCGCAAGTTAGAAAAAAAAAAACTGGTTAAAAGATACATTCTCACTAATGATGTGTCTGCATGTCATCAACGTGCCGAGTTATTGTTTTTGTCATTTGCTTACTAGACTTTTACATCTCCTGACCATGTTCCTTGGTCTGTGAGTGAGTTGAAAGTGGCAGGCTGCCACAGAAACATTACTTATTTGAGATTAAAACTATTTAAATGTCAGCTTTGCTGCACTGGTTTTGAATGTACTTTGGCAAAGCTTCCTACACACCAGGTCTCTCTTTGTTTTTTATTATTTTCTTTATCACTACCTCAGCCAAAAAGGTTGCGAGTCGGTTCAAG